TGATATTTTATTTGTGCTGAAATGTGATTTTATTTGTATGTTAATAAATAAAGTTGCCTGGAGATCAGAGGTCAAAGCAAACCATAAGCAGAGTCAGGCGGTGGTTGTACACACCCTTAATCTGATCACATGGCAGGCAGAGTCTCAGTGTGGTCAAGAACACAGCCAAACATAGTTACAGGAGCCGTTAATCTCAGTACCAACCATAGAGACCTGGAGGTCTGTATAGACAGGCAGTGATGAGGAAGTCATGTGGCTGGGCTTAGAGCCAATGAGAAGGCAGAACAGGAAAGCAATAAAAGTGCAGGTTAGGCAGGAAGAAGCTTGCTTTCTCTGGGGAAGCTACTGCTGGTGGTAAGTTAAGGCTAGTTGTGGCTATTACTCTGATTTCTTTGGCTGTTTCCTCTATATCTGCCTCAGTGTTTCTTATTTACTAAGACTGTTTAGAATTTTGTCTGCACTTATAGCCTAACCAAACTGACAAAAATCTCAGAACCTGCTAGGAATATAACCCTATATTGAAAAGACCCACATATGACTAGAGCATCATGTCCTCCTCAGTATCACCTCCTCTCAAGCAAAGTTTCAATTATACATTCATAGCTAGGTATCACTTCATGCTAGGTACCTTAAACTCAACTGCCAATGTTACAGGTACACAAAGAGATGGTGTTAGGGCATTCTAACTGCCCCCTGCCTTACAATCAAAGCATGCACTCTCTCTGTCTCTCTGTCTCTCTCTGTCTGTTTCTCTCTGTCTGTCTGTCTCTGTGTGTGTGTGTGTGTATTTCTCCGTCTCTCTCTCTCTCCCATGCTCTCTGTCTCTTATACACACACAAATACATACAAACAACTATGTATCTGTCTGTTACTTCTAGACATTTCCTCCCCACAGCAAAAGTCCCACATACACATACAGGGCTAGGTTTCTACTCCTGCTAGATACAATCTCCCTAGGAGGATCTCAGAAGAACTGCTAAGAGGACATGTTATCTAGCTGTGGAAGAGGGGTATAAAAGCTAGATGTCAGGTACTTTTGGTATCCCCTCCCCTCTCTGTACCTCCATGTTTTATATTCATTTCAGAAATTTGGGAGCCAGAAACAGTTGATGGAGATGACCTCTGACATTTGTCTTTCTGGATCTGGGTTCTCTCACTCAATATCATCTTTTCCACATCCATCTATTTACATAGAAAGATGACTTAAAAATCAAAGAGGATTGTTGTGCTGAGTGTCTGAAACTAGGCCTGTGATTTTGCAATTGCATTCAGTTCACAGGACGCATTTCTTTATTAATGTGGGGCCTAATGTGGGAGCTCCAGGCCCAATGTGGGTGCCTCCACCCCTGTGTGTTGGTCCCTAATTGTGTAAGAAAGTAAACTGAAGTAGCTGTGAAGAGCAAGCCAGTAAAGAGCTGTCCTCTGAATCTGCTAGAGATCCTAGAAAACTTCCCTAATGATGGACATTGAACAGGACATGGGGGCCAAATAAACTCTTTCAATCACATTGAGTTATATCAGGATGTGTCTATTAATAATACAATGTATACTAGAACAATATCATAGGACTGGCCTTAATTTGTAATCCTCCAAACTTCACCTACTGACTGCTGGCTTTAAGAATGTAATATAAACCAGTATGAAGAAATGGAAGTTTAAAGTTGACTAGATCTCAGGGAGAAAACAAATCAAAGACCAGTACAATACAATTCCATGAGGTCAGATTATTTTAATGAAGTTAATCATTGAACACATCTCAAGCAGACAGATTGGAGAAATACTGCTGAATGAGGGTGACACAAGAAATAGTGCCTGATGATATATACAGAGACAGGGAAGGAATCTGAGTGTATTTTTAGTTTGATAAGTACCAATCAGAGGGTATAAACAGAGGAGTGAAATCATATAACTTGAGATAGTGAATCATGGGACATATAAGCAGCAACAGTGGTTGCAGAAAGGTCAGTTTAGGAGGCTGGCAAAAGTGTGAAAACATCATGGCTTGTTCACTCTCTGGATCCAATGTTGGTGAATATACCCACTGCACTCTGTGGAACATGGCTCATGAGGTCAGAATATATGTTAGCACATTGTGACCAGCATATACAACCATTGTAATACACATAACCTGGCTCATGAGATCAGAGCATGTGGGACATTCTGAATCCTGCCCCAGCAGACATCTCATCTCAATTCCTGTATTCTGTTTGGTGAGGTCAGAAGGGATACCATTTCTAGATCATCCAGCTTCAGGAAGTTATCCCACCTACAAACCGGCACTGTGTGTCTCCACACTTGAGCTCAAGCAGAACACAGATGAGCCTAGCACAACCAAACTCTGAACACCAAGCATCAATCTAAACATTCCCCAACACAAAGGAAACAGAAGCACTGGAGTAACAAACTAAATCCAGATCAGCCCATGACAAATGCAGAAGTAACAAGAAAAACCCAGGACAACATTGTTGTGGCTGCATCTTGAGACCCCTGAGCAAGACCACCACAGAGCTGATATCCAATGCAAAACACACAGGGGTTTATTGATAGCAAGCAAGCCCGGGCTTGGTCCATGTCCAACACTCGACACAGTGGGTGGAGGAGGATGGCCCTGAGCTCTCAGGGTGAGGGGTTTTTAATGGAAAAAACACAAGCAGGGTGGCACAAGCCTTGGCATCATATGATTGGGTGAGGGTGTGTAACCTTTGGATTTACTGGTTGGGTTACAGTTATCACCTTGGGGGCAGGCCTGGACAAGTCCCAGGCTTTGTCCTTGAGCTGCCATGGGGGTTGGCTGGGCTAGCATGTACTAACTGTGGGGACTGACTCAGTGGGCCAGGCTCTGTCCTTGAACTGCCATGGAGGGTGTCTGGCCTCACATGTTCAGATAGACCCATGTATGCATCTCTTAGCTGGTGAGGGGTTCCAGACAGTAAACAACTGGCTAGAACTTGAGTGGTTAGAGTACTTACAGAAAGGGAGCTACTGCAAGGACTATGTCATAGCCCTCCCAGAAACTGTTTGCTCAAGTCTCAGGAAACTGAAATTGAGCCCTGATCTCTGGGAGAAGACTGACAGCCTGTTATGGCATCTGCTTGGTCCTTTCAACGTAACTCCTCCCAAAATGATCAATCCCAAAGTAGTGGCCAACAATAAGAGAGACTTCAACCAAATTCAAGGTTGGGTAACAAGGAAAGCCCAATGGCAGATGCATGGATCTCCCTGGGAAAGGGAAAAAAAGAGATCTCCTGGGTGAACTGGGGGCAGGTGAGGATGGGAGCATGAAGGTTTGGGTTGGGAGGTGCATGAAGGGGCACTCTACTGAAAGAGATGACTGGAACAGGGGAGCATAATGGGGTCAGGTAGAACATGATGCAAGGGGAACTCCCCGAAATCTATGAGGATGAACCCAAATAAGATGTCTAGTAATATCGGATACACAGCCTGAACTGGCCATCTCCTGTGATCAGACTGTTGACTACCTCAATTGTCAGCAGAGAGTCTTCATTCAGTAACTGATGGAAATAGATGCAGAGACCCACAACAAAACATTAATCCTCCTTGGTTTCAGGGAATTCTGCTGAAGAGAGGGAGGAAGGATTGTGGGTTCCGTGGGGTCAAGAACATCCCAAGATAACAGAAAACAACTAACCTGGCTCATATGAACTCAGTCTGAACCAACAACCAGAGATCCTACATGAGACTGACTAGGCCCTCTACATATATCTGACAGCTGTGTAGCTTGGTGTACTTGTGGAACTCCAAACAATGGTAGTGGGGCTGTCCCTTGGGCTTTGTCTGGCTCTTGGGAACCTATCTGTGAGTCCCTGATGTGCACCTCTCTGCTTCCTAACACATACTGCTCAGTATAATCCCAACTGGACAAGTCCTGACTCACAGAAGGGTAGAGAACAATGAGATGAGGTGAGGTCTGTAGATGGACAAGAAAACATGGCTATTACTCTGGGAATATATTGGTGTCATTGGGCAGATACTGTTGCGGGCTGTGGGATGTGAGCACTTTTGAAGATCTGGCAGATCCAGTGCTGGGTGGTGATTAGGATAACCCACATGGCAGGGACCATGTCAAGGAAGGACTGATGCTCCATTAGTGGAAGCAAACTGCCCATGAGTAA